GCTCTCTCTCTCTCTCTCTCTCTCTCTCTCTCTCTCTCTCTCGATTCTCCTGTTTGTTCTCTCTCTCAAAAAGAGAGAGAGAGAGAGAGAGAGAGAGAGAGAGAAAACATTGTGCAAGAACGGTGAAGGAATATGAAAAGAATCTAGGAACAAATTTGTAATAAGAATGATAACAATAAATTCTATATTCTGTAAAACAAAACAAAACAAAAAAACCGAAAAAAAAATTTCGTTTGAAAGAAAGAATGAATGAATGATTCTACGACGACGACTCCAGGTTTTTTCTCTTTTTTTTGAAATTATTCTCTCGATTCTGTGTGTGTGGTACATTTTAAAAACATACACATAATGACACACACACACACCATGAAAGAATCACATCGAGAGAATCACACATTTTTTTTCTCTACTGCTTGACAAAACTATAACGCTGTGTGTGTTTTTTGCTTTGTATTTGATGACTATGTTTGTTTGTTGAATAATTTGCCTGGCTGGCTGGCTGGTTTGAGCTACCGTTAAAATTATGCGCGCCATTATCAAACGACAACCGTGATCACGATTACAACATTGAAATTTTTTTTTTATTTCAAAAAATGATAAAAAACAAAACTACTAATCATTTTGATATTTGGTCTTTTGCTGTATAGACATTGTATTCTGTTTGTGTTTTTTTTTGTTTTCAAATCGATTGATTCTCAATGAATATTTTGTTTTGTTTTGTTTTGTTTCTAAAATCGTTATATCCGTAACCCTATTACAATTTGGGTTATAGTTTAATTTGGTTATGGTTATAATGTTTACCGCTAAAAAATAAGTGTTTTTTTTTGGTGGATAAAAAATTCTTTTAACCCTTTGATTATTCAACAACAACAACAAAATTGTGATCTATCTATCTCCATCTTCAAATTTACATCGCACATATAATTAAAATTGGGAAAAATGAAATGAAATGATGTGAGTTTCTTCGTTTCTGTCATTCATTCATTCGATAATCATCATCATCATTTTTCATTAATTTTTTTTCTAATTACAAAATTATCAACACCTTTATCGATCAAAATTAATAATAATTCTGTCGATTAATTAGTAATTTATTTCTTGTTTTTTTCGTTTTTTATCACATGAATTATTATGAAAGAAAGAAAGACAGCCAGCAAAAAATTCATTCATTCATTATCACATCAGTTATTCAGCGATATTTATTATTATATAACTAACTAACAAATTAACTGAATGAATGAATGAATGAATGAATGAATGAATGAAAACTAAACGATAAAACAGGGACCTAATAATAATAATAATAATAAAACCAAACAAACAAAAATAATAATAATCATAATATATACAGGGATGTATTGTTTTTTTGGTAATATTATATAATAATGTAGAGAGAGAGAGAGAATGCCTCCATCCATAACGTCAAACATGATGATGTTATTATTAATTTCTTCATCATCATCATCATTTCAGTTTATACTTGAATGAACATTCATTGTTTTTTTTAAAAAAAAGATTCTTGTTTTTTTCCTCTGTTTTGACAGTTTTTTTTTCTATATTTTCATCGGGAAAATAATTGATTTGAGTGCATAAAATTTTTTTGTTCGAGTAAATATTTTCATCATCATCATCATCATGGAATTTCAAAAGAATTTTCCAATAATTTGAAAGTGATCATAAGATTCTATTGATGATGATGATGATTTTGATTTGATTTTTTCGGTTTTTTGAATTTTGAATTTTGTTAAATAATTTTTTTTCCACTTTTTCGCTTTTTTTCCAGATAAAAATTCGTTGAATAACATCTATATATAGCAACAACAAACAAAAACAAACAACAACAACATCATTTGACATTTGACATATCAAATTTTTTCATTTTCTCAATTTTTTTTAGTTTTACCGTACACACACACAACAACATCATTGTAATTTGAGTGAAACTTTATATTAATCATAATTTTGGTTTGTTTTTTTTTTGTTAAACAAGCAAACAAACAAACAGCGAATTTTTCAGTTTCACCACCTGTTTACACTTTAAAATTTCATTAGATAAACAGCAAAGCAAAGCAGAAACAAACAAGAAACAAAAAATGTAAACGAAAATTTGATATGATAGAATTTCATTGAAGAAATTCTGTTTTTGTTTTTTGTAAAATGAACCAAAACAAAACAAAGAAAAAAAAATTTCATATTTTTAATTCATTAATTTAGCCAAAACCAAAACCAAAACAACCAAAAATGAATATCTGTAAAGAACGATTAAATAATCGTACAAAATCATTACGTGAAAAATTTAGCCGTAATCGTAGTTATTCAGAATTATCATTTAAAGATGTTTCATCATCATCAACAGCAGCAGCAGCTGCAAATGTTGCTGATGTTTTACCATCAACAACATCATCAAATCCATTACGGAATACATTCAATTTATTATCAAAGAAGACTGGTTCATCATCAGCAATTATTTCATCGCAACAACAACAACAACCGACTGAACCAATTATTGAATATGAACAATTACAAAATGAATCATATGGTTCAGCATTAAATTTAACAACCATTCCATTACAATCAACAACAGTAATAGGATCATCTGCATCAGGATTTGATCCATCAACAGCATCAACAACATTAATCAATCAAATTGATCGACCATTTTTATGGCAACATGATGTTGCTATTCAATGTAATCTAATACAAGCACCAGAATTATTAAATGTTGCGAAAAAATTACCAGGTAAAAAATCATCATCATCATCAACAATAACACATTCATCAACAACAGCATTGATTAATGTTGCTGCAGCAAAATTACGTAATATTACTGATCATCATAGCTATAGTGATGGTTTAAATCAACAATCAACAAATCTAATGATAACACAACCAGAAAAATTAATAAAAAATGAAAATACTTCAGCTGGTGGTGGATATGTTGGTCGTTTCTGGAAAAGTACAATGAGTGTTACATTTAATTCACAACAAAATCATAGTGGTCCAACAAGTCCATTTCCAACATTGAATTCAGGAAAAAAATCTACATTTCGTTGGACAACAAGTGTACGACGTAATAAACATCAACAGCAACGAGAACAACAACAAAATCGTCAACCAATATTAAAACGTGCTGCATCATTTAATGATAATTCTGGTACAGGATATGCAAGATTAGTACAAAGTACATCATCACCATCATCACCTGAATTAATACATGATGAACGTAATAATAATAATAATAATAGATTAAATATTTTGGATTTAAAACCAAAATTAATCCGTCCAACAGCATTATTTAATATTACAAATGAAAATAATAATAATGATGGTAATAATAAAAAATTAATGAAAATTAAATCAATTACAACTGAAGCTTTAAATTCATCATCATCATCATCACAACCAACAACATTAAATCGTCATTGTAATAATAATCGTAATAAAATGATTAATTCAGCACCAGATTCATTTGATGATTCAACTATTGATGATGATGATGATACTGAAACAAATATAGTGATTCTTGTAAGTTTTTTCTTTCTTTCTTTTGTAGAAAAAAGTAAAGATTTTAATCCTTTTTATAAAACTTTTTTTTTATAAAATTACATTTTATAAAGTCTCCTGCATCTGAAATGAATGATAATAAAATTATCAATCAAAATCAAATTAATAATAATAATAATAATAATAATAATCAAAAACGACAAAAACGTAATAATAATGATCGAAGAAAAATATCAAAATCATCATATCATCATTATCATGATGATAATGATTATAATTATTATGATTATAATGAACAAAGAAATCGTTCAGGTGATAATGAGCTTTATAATTTTGATACTAAAAACAGGTAAACAATTTAAAAAATTACATTTTAAATTTAAATTTTTAAAATTAATTATCATTATTACAATTATTATCATTAATTAAATTAGATTATTAAACATATCATTGGAAGCATCAAGCCAACAAGAACAAAAAATGGCAATGAAACCATTTTTATTAGATTTACCTAAAACAATTGGATCAAATAATAATGGTTGTATGGGTAGTAATAGTGGTAGTAGCGGTGGTGGTGGTGGTCTTCAAGTACCTGATGGTTGTAAGTGAATAACAAAAAAAAAAACGAAAAAAATGAACAAATTTTCGTTTCAAGTTTTTAATACAAAATTGATAATCTCTGTACTTTTTGTTTTCCTCTTTGTCTGTCTTTGTCTGTCTCTGTTTTCTTTATTTTTTTTNGGATCAAATAATAATGGTTGTATGGGTAGTAATAGTGGTAGTAGCGGTGGTGGTGGTGGTCTTCAAGTACCTGATGGTTGTAAGTGAATAAAAAAAAAAAAAAAAACGAAAAAAATGAACAAATTTTCGTTTCAAGTATTTAATACAAAATTGATAATCTCTGTACTTTTTGTTTTCCTCTTTGTCTGTCTTTGTCTGTCTCTGTTTTCTTTATTTTTTTTTCTGAACAAAATCCTCTTTTCTAGCAACAGCACATTCAACATATCTAAATCTACCATCACCAAATATTCAATCAGAGGTATAGAGAGATTGGAAAAGCTTCTTTTTTTTTTGTTTCTCTGGAATCCATTAAAATTTGTATTTTTTTCTGTATTTTTTTTTGTTGGTATTTTTTTCCTCAAAATAATAGATTCAAGATGTCAATCCAGTATTAAGAAAATTATCAGTTTTAAGTAAACAACCGGAATTAATATTACAACAACAACAACAACAGCAAAAAAAACAACAAGAACAATTACAATCGGGCCAATTACATAATCATCATAATTATAAATATTCAAATCGTTCAAATGATAATAGTCGTAAAAGTGGAAATAGTCGGAAATCATGTGATAAACAAATTGATGATAATGATGATTATCTTTTATATAATTATGATGATCAAGAATTAATGGCACCAGATGAACAACCATCAGTTGAAGAACTACAACGTAGACGTCGTCGTCGTGCACTTGTACCACCAAAATTAATAACCGATGGTCCATCAATTGATGATGATGATGCAGGATCGGATAAATCTATTACTACTTCAATAACAAATGATAATGATAATAATGATTTTGGACAACAATTATCACCAATCAATAATCAATCATCATTTATTGATAATTCAATATCGAATAAAAGCAAACAATCACAAAGAAATTCATTGCCTAGTTTTAATGTTGAAATTACCGGTTGTAGTAATCAATCATCAATAGGTATTGAACAAACATCTGATGTATCAATATCGGATCATCATTCTAGTGGTGGTGGTGATAATGTTCATGATGATGATAATAAATGTAAATCAATATCACCAGAAATTAGAGATCATTATTATGATGATGGTCGTAAATCACCACGTAGTGATGATCATTCATCACCACCAAGTTCAAGTTCAAGTAATTTGCTTGGTGTTAATTTAAATAGCCCTTCAAATAATAAAAATAATCGCCGTCGTTCATCGGTTGTTGTTATACCACCAATGCAAATTTGTCCTGGTGATTTACTTGTCTATAGTAAAGTATTAACACAACGTGCCAATTTAATTGCTGAATGTGGTGGTGGTGGTTTTGCATCGAGCTTATTAACCGATCATGATAATCGTAAATCACATAAAAATACTTGGTCATTATTACGGTTGGTAAGTAGTTTTCCTCCAAAACAAACAAAAATCAAAAAACACATAAAATCATTACAAAGATGCTTGTTTTAGATTCATTAGATAGTGTGATTATGCTTATTTTCATTTTTATTATTTTTTTATTTTTTTTTTTTTTTGTTGGAATGTTATTATTCAATGCATGTTATGCATGTTTGTAGCAGATATATTTCCTCTGTCTGTTTGTCTTTCTCTCTCTCTCTCTATCTATCTCTTCAATTTCTATGTGCTGGAAGAACAAAATTTTTTCTGTCCATCCAAATGTGTGTTCAGTTTGACAGGTCAGGTAGCCGTTCAAAAGCTGATCAAATTCTTTGTGGCCTTGAAGAATTTCTTTCAAATTTGGCACCATCAAATTCATTTTTTGATGAATCAATGTTACGTTATCGGGGTATATCATGGTATGAATTTCAATCAAGATTGGAAAAACGACGTATATCAAATGATTGTTCATCAACAACATCATCATCGGCCATTTCGTTAATCAATGCTTTATCATTAGGACAAACAACAAATCAACCAAATCAACAATATCATTCAAGATTTATTGATAATTCAAGATTTAGTTCATTACAATCAAATACATTGGATACAATAGCTGTAAATTGTCCATTATGTCATCGAACACAGACTATTATGATTCCGGCAATTCCACAACCAGTCGTTCCACCATCACAGCCACCTCCACCACCAACAACAACAGGATTATTAACAACAAATATGCCAAAAGCAGCATCATATAGTGTTGATCGTTTATTAATACAACCGAATGATACAAATTTAATTAATGGAACAGAAAATCAAACAAAATATGAAGTACAAAGTGCCAAATATTATCAACGAACTGATTCAGTTTCAACTGAACAAGAAGTAGAAAGTATTGTTGATTTTGAAATTGCTGATAATCCAACAACAACAGCCGTCGTTGATCAACAGCATCAACAACAAAATTTAGAACCACTACAGCCATCTAGCAATAGTAAAACACAACAGCCAATAAATTCAGGATTCACTATGAACAGTAATGATATTTATGGACCAGGTCCAGCACCTGAACCATCACAATTTTGTCGTGATTGTTTTCAACAATTTAAACGTGAAAAACGTCGTCGTGAAGCATTATGGGAATTATTTCAAAGTGAATTATTATTTTTAGTTGATCATTTAATGGTATTGAAAAATGTTTTTATGGAACCATTGAAAAATATACAGGTTGAAGGTTATGCAATGTTTGCCGAACCAGAAGTATTATTTGGTAATCTTGATGAATTATGTTTAGTAACATATGCATTTTGTAAAGAATTTTTATCATTATTAATACAACAAGAATCATCCGGTGATGGTATACAGGTGACAAATATATTAAATAAATTATATTTAAAAAATAATCGTATTGCATCATCAACACAAGCATATCATCGTTATACATTAAATTATATAAATGCATTACAATATTTAGAAACATTACGAAGACATTTAGAATTTATTGAATTTGAAAAAGTATGTTTATTTATTTTGTGTCTAAAGAATTTATTAATCAATTTTTGTTTTTTGTTTTGTTGTTAAAGTGGTGTAATCGTGATCCAAGATGTAAAAAATTACAATTAACAGATTTATTAGTAACACCTGTACAACATGTAATGCGTATACCATTATTATTAAAAGAAATTGAAAGTAAAACATATCAATCGGATGAAAAACGTATTATACAATCAATTATTGAACAACAAGAACATAGTTTACGTGAATTAGATGATAAAATGCGTTGGTTAAAAAATTTTGAACGTTTATTAGAAATACAACGTAATATATTATGGCCATCAGTACTTGATATGGATCCAAAAGTTTTTGTACCAGAATTTTTAAAAAGTTTTCTACAAAAACAACCATGTGAACGATTAATTGTTAGTCCACGACGACAAATAATATTGGAAGGACCATTAATGATAATGGATAGTGGTAAATCAATTGAAATGTATGTCTTCCTATTCGATGATTTATTATTGATAACAAGACGAAAAAAAGGTCTTGGTAAAAAGGTTAGAATCATTTATTGAATTGAATTGAATTTTTCAAAATTGATTGATATTTTATTGTTTTGTTTTGTTTTTTTTTGTTATTCATCAGCAATCAACCTTGACCGATCGTTGGGTAACTAATTGTAGTGGACGTTCATCAAGTTATAGTTCAGTAGTAGGTGGATCAGTTGGTGCTAGTAATGTAGTAAATCCATCTGCATCGATTGCTGTTGCAACAACAATGATTACCGGTGCTGTTACAAATACAAATATTAATAATGTTATAACAAATGTTCCTGGTACTGGTTCTATATCGACAGCAGCAGCAGCAGCCATTGCAGGTGCAGGAACTATTGTAACATCTGCTGCTGCTGCGGCTGCTGTTACATCAGGTCATCATTTTACATCTGGTAGTTTACCTGGTGGTAGTCATCATGTAATAACAACAACAACAGCAAGCGCTGGTTCAATAACACAAACCGGTATTAATTTAATGTCATTACATGGTGAACCACATCATGGTCCATTAACTGGTGGCGGCGGAAGTATTAGTGGTGGTGGTGGTGGTGGCGGTGGAAGTAGTAATAATGCTGCATGTTTTAAATATGTTGTCTATAAACAACCATTATCATTGGATCGTTTTTATATACATGATGTACCTGGATCAGATGGAAGTGGAAGTGGTAGCGGTAGTGGTGGTGGTTCCGGTAGCGGAAGCTCTAGTAGTAATAATAGTGGTCTAAAAAATGCATTCGTTTTGGTTTGTTTGAATCGTTTTCAACAGGTTATTACTGTACATACATTTCAAGCATCAAGTGAATCAGCTAAAGTAAGATTTTTTTTGTTTTCTTCAAATCAATTAATTTTTGACGTTTTCACACACACACATATAGCATACATGGTTATCAAAATTACGTAGTACATGTGATCGTTGGAAACGTACATTACAAAGTAATCAGGTATTTCGTTCACAAAAACAATCAAATACAAGCGGAAAAAATGATACGACAGCTGAATCACAAAAATCTTCATCACAGCGTCGACAACAACAACAACAACCAAAAAATGATTCTGAACCATCACCACCGCCAAAGACAACAACAACAACAACAACATCGGTTCATCATCAACAGCCAAAAAATAAACGTATAACAGAAATGGTACATCATCATCATGGACATCAACATCATCAATCGCAACAACAACAACAACAACAACAGCCATCACGACCATCAATAAATTTTCAAGAAAATTTAAATCAAAAACCAATTACAACAACAACAACAACAGCAACAGGAACAACAACAACAACAACAACAACAATCGATGATTGTGGATTAAAACGAATGAGTATCGATAGTATGAATAGTGTTGAAGCATCGATTAGTTATCAGATTGATGATAGTCAATTAACGGCAACAACATTTACCTAGAAAAAAAAACAGAGAAATTTTTTCTTTCAAATAGCCAATATCACATCTCTATATTATACTGATTTACCTTGACAAACACATACCTGAGAACGAACAACCCAAAACAATTATTATCTTCTTATCCTTATCTTTATGAAACAAAAAAAAAATTTCATTCACAATTTCCTTTCATTTTTTTTGCATAAAATTTCTACAAAATATTGATCTATTTATACTTAATATTTTCCTACTACTTAAAAATGTTGTATGTTTACAAAAAAAAAAATTATTGCTTATCCAATCGATCAGATCATCACCCTATTTGATTTTTCATTTCATTTTGAAAAATATTAGAAATTGAAATTAAAAAAGAAGAAAAATTTCATAATTTTATTGTGGTTTTGGTGAAAAATTTCATATGTATCTATTTCGAGCTAATCAACCCTGTGGCTGTTGAATTAGTCGTCAAAATAGTACCTGTTTTGTTTTGGTTTTTTTTAAACGAAAAATTTGAAATTTTCATTTCCAATCACCTTTTCCCCGAAAAAAAAGAAATAAGAAATGTCAACCAAAAAAGAACAATCTTTACGTTCAAGGTTTGATTATAATCGTAATAAATCAAATGAATTATTAGTAACAAAACGTAAAGAATTGGAACGTTTTATGAATGTTAATAATGATCAAAAACATCATGATGATGATGATAAAAATGATAATGAAAATTATTGTCAACAATGTTTTCGTTTCATTCGTCATTTAATGACCATTTTGATTGTTTTAATGGCTATAATGTATACATGGTTTACACATTATCCTGAACCGGTAATATCACCATTTTTACATAGCTGGCAAGAGATGGGTAAAACATTTGAATATCGATCACAATATGATATTTTTTTCATTGGTAATTATTTTCTCTCGGGATTTTGAAATCGTTATTGATGATTTTCTTTTTTATATTTTAAATTTCAGACAAAATGACCAATAAAACTGATGGTCCAATATTATTATACCTGCATGGATTTCCAACATCCAATTTGGATATGTATAAAATTTTACCCGAATTATCACGTCATTTTAGTCGAATAATTGCACCGGATTTTATTGGATTTGGTTTCAGTAGTAAACCTGTATGTATATAAATGAATGGAAAAGAAATTAATCAATCTGTTTTGTTTTTTTTTGTTCGACATCATTATAGAAATCTTATCAATATTCAATCAAAGATCAAGCTGATTTAACAATATCATTATTAAATCATTTGAAAATTATTGATAATATTCATATATTATCACATGATTATGGTGATTCAGTTGCACAACATTTATTATCATTAAATAAGTTTAGTTTTATCATTTTTTGATAAAATATTTTTCAATTTTTAATTTCACATTTTTTAATTTTTAATTTAGAAAAAATTTATTACCAACCATACGAATTGAATCAGTTTGTATGCTAAATGGTGGTATATTTCCATCACATCATCGTCCAGTTTTTTTTCAACAATTATTACGTTTACCAATTGTTGGTAATTTAGCAACAAGATTTATGAATCGTTATTTTCTTTATATTGCTATTACTAAAGTATTTGGACGAAAAAATCCACCAACAATTGCTGAATTATATGATATGTGGAAATTAATACGTTTAAATGATGGTTATTTAATTCAACCAAAATTATTATCATATATTGATGAACGTTTTGAAAATGAAGATGATTGGGTTGATGCTATACGTGATTCACGTCCCGTTCCATTACATTTTATTTATGGACCAGCTGATCCAGTAAATCCACCACCATTCGATGAATTTTATCGTAGTATAATTAATCAACCAAGTATCGATAAATTATCGAATGATATTGGACATTATCCACAATTAGAAGCACCGGATGATGTTGTCCAATCATATTTAAAATTTTTAAACAAAAATAATTTTCTATAAACTCTTTAATTTGATTAACTTTTTTTCTTTAATTATGTTATCTATAAGATTTTTGTTAAAAACAAACACCCTATTTTTGCATTCATTACATTTGAAATAAAGTTTTGTTTTTTTACCTTTTTTTTAAATGATGAAAGTCTTGTGAAATTTTAATGATGATGGTAACCATGGTAATTTATTTTTGTTTTGGTTTATAGCGCGAATCGATTTTCGTTGCCGGTTCCAGCTCACTTGTTTTGAAATCGTAATTCTTTTGTTTCGTTTTCGGTTTCGCTTTGTTTCGTTTTCGTTTTCGTTTTGTTGCGTTTCAGTTTGCAAATCAAAAAAACCAAAAAATCAAAATGAAATCATGGAATTTTATGGTCAAAAAATTTCAAAAAATAAATCCAATAATAATAATGATGAATCATCATTATTATTATTAATGATAAGGGATATAGTAAGAAATTATTTTCAACAACCATGGTTTGATTTAAATGAACAAGATGAACAATTGATAAGAGAATTTTTTCAACTTTCAAATTCTGATAAACAAATATCATCTGAACAAAAATCATCAAATCGTCGATCATTATTAGTACAATTGGCAAATATTGATGATAATCATCAACATCAGCAACGTCATGAACCAAAATTTGAAATAATTTCATTGGATGATATTATTCGACATCATCATCATCATCATCGTCGTCATAGAAATGTTACCAATTCCAAACAACAACAACAACAACAACAATCAACAACAAATGAATTAGTAAATGGTCAACAATCAATATTATTTATTCGTTCGAATGATGTTAATCATCGTGGTGGTCAAAATGATGATAATCAAATCAATCAGCAGCAGCAATCATCATCATCATTATCATCATATCATCGATCAACAGTACAGATACGTTTGGTGACCGATGATGAAGCCATAAAACATTTATCCGAAATCCTACGTACATGTCCAATAACGAATGATGAAATCATTGCAGCATATAATCAATTGGAACGTTTTATTGATCGTGATAAAGTTCTTCAGGTTTGTTTTTGTTTTGTTTTTCAAAATTATCCATGTTTTTTTTCTTCTTTTTTAATCTAAATTTTTTCCACTAAAAACACGCACACAAACAATCAGAATCTTTTGGATGAACGAACAGAATTTTTACGTAAATTAAGTGAATGGTCAGAAACATTGCTAGAATATCCAACACAATCATCATCATCAGATTTGGATGGAAATTTATCTAGTCAAAGTTCCGATGATGATGATGATGGTGAAATAGAAGAAGATGACGATGATGAAGAAAAACAAGAACGACAAATTGGTCGTGAATTAAATCAAATGGCAATGAAAATAATAACATTAAAACAACGACAACAATTATTATCAAATATTGTTGCAAACATACCATTAATGTTTCGTGATGTAAATGATTTAAATATGTATCGTATAAATATGACTGAAACATCACAAATGTTAGATTCCGAATCAATACAATTATTTCATCGTTGGACAACAAATATATCGAAAAATATTCATTATGATTTAACTAAACAATGTATTATTATTGATCAGCGTACACAACGTCCACGAATAACATTAAGTCCATATTTGGAAAAATTTGCTCAAAATATACGACAATTACGACAATATCATTTTATAATACCCGATGATATTGATCGTATGGAATCAAATATATCATTATATATTGATTTTGTTAGTGATCTGAGAAAAATTATCAGATTTTATATGACTGTTGCTGAACAAATATTACCAAGTCAAAGACCAATGTTAATTGATAAAGCACGTTCATTTACAACATTATTAGAAAGTAATCAACAATTAACATGGTCACATGGTATTGATTCAATTAGTAAATGGATTAATGAATTGAAAAAATTTATGTTAGAATTTCAACAACAAAATAAACAATTACAACAATTACATTTAAAAATATTGGAAACAATTAAATGGATGATTGATATATCATTAACACAATGGGATCGTTTTATTGAAAAAATTCGTTTGATTATTGGTGAAGTATCATCGACATCAACAAATCAATCATATCAAAATACATATGTTTGGCGTAAACATTGGGATTATCAATTATATAAAATTTTGGAATATTATTTTAATCAATCAATGATGATACGTATAAATAATCGTCGACAAACAAATAAACAATCAGCAATTATGAATCGTATGAAAACAGCAAAACAGTTAAATAGATCAGCAACAACAACGAATAATGATAAAGATGATGAAGAAATGATTATAATGTTTAATAATGTTGATCAAGATTTATTACAATGGGAACGTATGAATTTACAAATATCCAATCAGGATAATATAATTGAATTACAATTTCATTCATCCGGGTTTGTTGTTTATGAACCATCATTTGAAAAATTAAAACAATTATTATTTGAACGTTTTCAACGTTTCATACGTTATCCATCAACATTTCGTGCATTTGTTGATTGGTCATTAGATACAAAAATTAATCCATCATTATCATCGATTGATAATTCAACGCAAGCGAATAAAAATATTGTCAAAACACCACGAACATTATTTCATAATATTTATTATCGAAATGCAACGAAATTTCAAAATATTTATCATAAAGTATTTGATGCAATCGATGAATTGATTCGGATTCGACAACAATTTATTCAATGGACTGCTATTTATAATGTAATACGAATGATAAAATCTAATAATTATGTTCATCATCATCATAATGTTGATGATAATGACAATGAAAAACAATCATCAACAACAACAACAACAAAAAAATCAACAATATTCAATTGTAAAACATTAGAAGATTATCAATATAATTTACGTTTGATAAAAAATTTATCAAAAAAATTTTCAAATAAATATTCAATGATAAATGAAATACAATGTGATTATAGTAATTTCATTATTAATATAATACCGATAAAAATGTTTATCGAATGGTTATTTAATGAATCGGAAATCGTATTGTTACATTCAATACGTGATCAATGTCATTTGGATCTAAATCAAATTGAACAAATTTGTAGACAAAATATTGATCAACTTAAACATTGTCCAACGAATATTGATGAATTGATTGAATTTGATCAGATAATCACAAAACAATTGGATAAAATTCATTCAAAATTAACAATCGATACGGTAACATTAAGGGAAAAAATACATTTTTTTCGTACATGGTCATCATCATCAACAACAGCTATTAATAATCAATCTTTAGATCTTATCAATAGATTTGATCAATTAAAATTAATTATAAATGAATTTGATAATATTTTCAATAATCGTATGGAATTATTAACCGATTATCGTGAACAATTACAAACAAAAATTTCAATAGAATTAAATCGTTTACAAGAAGAAATTGATAATTTTTTACAACGTTGGATTGAATTATCGGATAATATTAAACAAACACCTGAAATTATTAATGATTTTCAAATAAATTCAAATCAATTGATTGGAAAAATGAAAGAATTATCGAAAAGTTGTGAATATTTTCAATTAGAACAACCACGTTCATTTGAATCAATGAATAAAATTAATAATGAAATACAGGAATTATATGAAAAATTTCATATAATTTATGAATTTGAAAAAGGTTTACAACAATATCAAGAAATGGAATGGATTGTTTGTCGTAATAAATTATCAAAAATTAATCAATATATTAATGATTGGTTGGAACAACATCATCCAACAACATTATCAAATGATCATAATGATGGTTATCTACAATCATATATTGAACGTTGGAAAAAATTTCTACAAACAATTGAAATATGTCGTGGTGATAATTATCAATCACTACATTGGAATCAATTCCTTCGGAATATATTAAATTTAACCGATATAAATTATGAAAATTTAAAACTTTCAGATTTATGGTCGAAACAGGAAAAATTATTAGAAAATCGTTCAGAAATATTAGATATAAATAAACGTGCTTATAATGATAATCTATTACGTGATGCATTAAATGATTTAAATCAATTTGCATTGAATGGACAATTTATTTTATATCCATATCGAATGAAAAATAATATTGAAATTATGTTAATAAAAGATTGGTATCAATGTTTTAATCAAATATCTGATTGTTTTCTTCTTATACAAACAATACGTAATATGGATAATGATGAAATATCCGATGAATATTTACAACAATATCAAGAATGGGAAACAAAATTAGTACAATTTGAACAATTAGTTTTATTATTGAATTCAATACAAAGAAAATGGATTTCATTAGAACCAATTTATAATGATCATCATCATGGTTCATCATCATCATCAACATTATCATCAAGTTTTTTTCATGATTTAACATTTGTTCGTTATTCAAATGATTTTCAAGAATTAATGAAATTAATTAGACAAAATAATGGTCGTTTTTCATATCTGATACAGGTGAAAAATTGGGAAAATCGTCTACGGATTATTGATCAAAATTTTCAACAAACACAGAAAAAATTACGTTCATTTATAGAAGAATCAAGACAAAGATTTCCAAGATTTTATTTTCTTGCTGATGAAGATTTATTATTAATATTATCCGGTAAAATTGATCTTAATCAATCGGGTTTAGTTAAAAAATTATTCATTAATACAATTGGTTGTTTAGTTTATCATCCGAATGATCAACAACAGATCATTGCGATTGAATCAATACAAGGTGAACGTATTCAATTGAAAAAATCCATTCAAATTGATAATAATCATGGACCATCTTGTATTGAACGTTGGCTACAAGATTTGGATTTAGAAATTAAATCAACATTAAAATCAATTTTTTTAGAAAAATTATCACAAAAACATTTTGTTTATAATGATAATGAATTATTTACAATAATTCCATCACAAATTTTAAGTTTATATTGTTATTTGGATTTTACTGAATCAATTGAAAATGCAATCGATAATAATAAACTTGTTGATTTGAAAAATTATTATGAACAAATTCTATCAACATTAACTAAAGATGTTGATCAATTTCAACAGAAAATTATTGAATTATTATCGAAAAATTATTCCGAATCATCTTCGTCAACAGCAACAGCAAATCAAATCAATCAGAATTTATCGAAAATCAAAATCAAACAAATTGTATTGGATATTATTCATTATATAAATGTTATTGAAACATTAATCGATTCAAATGTAAATGATCGAAAACATTGGTGTTGGCAATCACAATTAAGATTTTATACAAATCAATCATCATCAACAGCTGAAATAAAAATCTGTATGGGTTTAGCAGAATTTGATTATTCATTTGAATATCTTGGTTGTTTAGGTGATTCAAAACTTGTTTATACAACATTAACAAATAAATGTTTTCTAACGCTGACACAGGCAATGGATTTAGGTTTAGGTGGTAATCCATATGGTCCAGCTGGTACTGGTAAAACTGAAAGTGTTAAAGCATTAGGACAATATTTTGGCCGTCAAGTTTTAGTATTTAATTGTGATGAAGCAATCGATGTTAAATCAATGACACGTATTATTGTTGGTCTAATTAAATGTGGAAATTGGGGTTGTTTTGATGAATTTAATCGTTTACAATTGGATGTTCTATCGGTATTATCATCACAAATACAAGAAATACAATGGGCAATAAAAAATCAATCAAAAACAGTTAATCTTAATGAATATGGTACAATAAATATTAATAATAATGCTGCAATATTTATAACATTAAATCCAGCTGGTAAAGATTATGGTGGTCGTAATCGTATACCGGATAATCTTAAATCATTATTTTTACCTGTTGCAATGACAATACCGGAAATTAAAACCATCGTAAGATTTTTATCATTAGCTGAAGGATTTTCTGATCAAGCAACCAGAATACTTGGTGAAAAAATACCATGTTGGTTTGAATTTGCACAAGGTAGTATGTCACAACAAAAACATTATGATTGGGGATTACGTACAATAAAAGCATGTTTAGAATCAAGTGGACGTCGTTTAAATAATAATCGTAAAATAATGTTAAATAATGATCATCAATCATTGGATGAATGTCAATTAGAAATTCAATTAGTTATCGATACATTACGACAACAGATTAAATCAAAATTAGTTGATACGGATTCATTAAAATTTGATGGTTTAATTGAAGCTGTTTTTGGTTTAGAATTCGGCAACAATAATAATAACACTAATGATAATAATCAACAACAACAACAACGATCAATAATGAAAATAAATTCACAATCAAATTCAGATTCATTTGTTGATATAGTTGAAAATTGTTTTAATGAAAATAATCTTATTAATAATGAATATCAATTGGAAAAAATACAACAATTATATGAACAAATACAGATACGTTTTGGTGTTGTATTGATTGGACCATCTGGTTCGGGTAAAACAACAATTTGGCAAATGTTAAAACGTTCATTAGAACAAATGTCATCATCGACAACAACAGCAACAAATAAATTTCGTTCAATCAATTTGATTATAATTAATCCAAAATCAATGCAAAGATCATCATTATTTGGTTATATTGATGATGATACACGTGAATGGCATGATGGTTTATTTTCAGCTAAATCACGTGATATAACACGTAATGATAATGATATTAATGGTGATGATAGTAATAATTCAATGAATTGGATAATATTTGATGGTGATATTGATCCGGATTGGGTTGAAGCATTGAATTCAGTACTGGATGATAATCGTGTATTAACATTACCATCTGGTGAACGAATTGATTTTGATTTAAATCATTGTCGTATATTATTTGAAACAACATCATTAAAAAATGCATCACCAGCAACAATATCAAGATTAGGTGTTGTATCAATCGATATGATTATGATTAATGAAATGGTACAATGTTTTGTTGCAAAAAATCAGCTATCATTCACTGCAATATCAATTATACAGAATTATCTGAATCAAAATCATCAACAATTATTTTCACCAATATCGACAGCACGTTCAATGTTAGAACATTTTCGTTATTGTCAATTAAATCATGAAGATGAATCAAATGCTATTGATCGTATTTCTGGTCATTATTTTTCACAGCAACAACAACAACAATCAACTAATAATGATTATGAAATCAATCAAAATAATCTAATAATAACTGATTCAATAAAACGTTATCAAGAAATGTTAAAACCATTAATCGGTCAACATATTCTATTGATTGGACCAATTGGTTCGGGTAAAACAATTTTAGCACAAGAATTATTATTTCAATCAATGAATGGACAATTATTATCGATTGATTGTACACCAACAACTGATTCAAAATTATTATTAAAACAATTATTCGATTGTACAACAATTGTACATTCAGGTACAAATCGTATGATTAGATCAAAAATTAATGGTCAACAAATTTGGTTATTCATTCGACATTTAGAATTATTAACATATGATAAATGGTCATCAAATTCATTAATATCATTATTAACATTATTATTAAAACATAATGGTTTTCATCATCCCGATACATTTGAATGGATACAAATTGATCCAACATTTCAATTAATATTAACCTGTACAGATATTCACTTGATTGATAAACGTTTATTAACACAATTACATTTAATACAATTACAACGTTATTCATTGAATGAAATTCAACAAATATTAACCGGTAAAATTCAACAATTATCAATGAATATTGATTATCAATTATTTCCCGGTTATTATATTGATTTAATTAGACAATTAAATAATAATGATAATGATAATGAAATTGATTTTCTTAAAATCGGTATCGATATTATTGATTCATTAAGACATTATGATAATCATGATGAACAATCAGTACAATATGAAATTTATAGAACATTAATGAATAATTTAACTGAAGAATCAAATCGTCAAATATTAAAAACAATGATGGATCATAATGATAATCAGATATTCTATACAAGTATTAATGGTCAATCAAAATATCGTTTAATTAATAATGAACAATTTTGTTTACAAATACAAAAATGGATACGTAATTATTGTCAGGAAAATGATTTAAATCGTCCTGAATGGCCACAATTAAAACAAACAAAATTATTAATTGCTGATTTATGTTCATTTTTAGCTATTGATAATAATAATAATAATGAAAAAATTACAATTATAAATAATCAAAATCAATCAGATTCATTATCATCATTAATAAATCCAATATCAATAATGATTATATTAGGTAATAATGGTATGGGTAGAAAATTTTTAATTAAAACAATTGCACATAATTTTGGTTATGATAAAATATGGACACCAGATTCAATACAATCGGAAAGACATTTAAATAATGAATTACAAACACTGTTTAATTATGATGATCAATCAACAACAACAACAACAACAACCGCAGATGATAATCGAAAATTATTATTATTATTAATTGATGAAATACATTTTGAAATATTACCATATTTACGTGATCAAATTTATACAAAAATTAATATTTATAATCAACAACAACAACAACAATCGCAGCAACAACAACAAATTTCAAACATAACAATAAGATTAATAATAACAACCACCGGGTTAACATCGATGGATCATTTAATGTGGTTACGAAAAGCACGTATACATCGTTCATTACCATTTACATCAGATGATTATTATCATCTTACTAAAGGATTAATTTATTCACAAATTGATAAACAAAAACTTTTTGTTGATGATGATGATGATTCAATAATAAAAATGTTTCCAAAAATTTATCAACATTTTCAACAACAAGATCAATCAAATACAAATAATATGGATAATATTCGTAGTTATACTGATTTTATACAAAATTTTATACAATTATTTCATTATCAACAACAACAAACTGATGATGAAAATAAACGTATGAAATTAGGTGTTGCACGACTTGATCAAGTATCAAATCAAGTAAAAATACTTAAAAATGATGCATATGAACAGAAAAAATTATTAGATTCAAAACGTACTGAAGCTGATGATGCATTTCAAATGATAATGAATTCAATGCATCAATCAGAAGATAAAAAAATTGAATTAGAAGATGTACAACAACGTATGAAAATTGAAACCGATAATCTAAAAGAACGTAAATTAAAAATCGATGAAGAATTAAATGAAATTGAACCAATTTTACAATCAGCTAAAGCAGCAATTGGTGGTATACGTTCAGATTCATTATCAGAAATTCGTTCATTACGTGCACCGCCGGAAATTATACGCGATATTTTGGAAGGTGTTTTACGTTTGATGGGTGTTAATGATACATCATGGGTATCGATGAAAACATTTCTTTCGAAACGTGGTGTCAAAGAAGATATTATGAATTTTGATTGTCATAAAATTACACCAGAAATTCGACAAAAAGTTGAACAATTATTAAAAAAACGTTCAGAAAGTTTTCAACTAACAACAGCAAAACGTGCATCAGCTGCTGCAGCACCATTAGCTGAATGGGTTAAAGCAAATGTTGAATATTCAAGTGTTTTACATAAAATTGAACCATTAGAAAGAGAATTGAAAAAATTAGAAACCAATTTACATCGTGCACAATCACGTATACGAACATTAGATTCACAATTGAATGATGTTGATACTGAAGTTGATAAATTACGTGAACGTATGCAAGCAGTTACAATTGAAGCAGCTGAAATTGAAATTAATTTAAAAAAATCGGCAAAAATTCTTGAACAAAGTGAAACAATTGTTAATGATCTTAGCGATGAATATCAACGTTGGAATGAAAAATTATTACAAATTGAAATTGAATATCGTCGTATGCCATTAAAATGTATGATTATTGCAGCATACCTAACACAGGCATGTCGTGAATCAAGTTATTCACGTCGGACAGAAATTCTTTCCGAATGTTTTGAAAAATTTCAAATAAATTCATTTAATTTAATTGAATTTTTACAATTTGAAACCGAAGAAGAATTACTTTTGTTTGGTCAAACATTATCATCATCATCATCAACAACATTGGATTCAAAAATGATGATTTATCCATCAATGATATCATTGATTTGTGATCCAGCACATAAAGCATTGAATCTATTTAAAAATGTTGAAATTACAAGTAAGTTTCTCTTTTGCTTTTTTTGATTTGTTTTACTAATCAAATTTTTCGTTTCTTCAAAGATTTCAATGCAAAAGATTGGCTTAAAATATTAGAATTAGGTATACGTTTTGGTCGTACAATAATCATAACAGATTTCAATCAATTTGATCAACGTTTAATTCCATTAATAATGGGTTTGATTTATGGTTCATCAAATGATCAAAGATATTGGACTTATATTGGTGATAAAAAAATTGATTATAATCCAAAATTTTCCATTTATTTTATGACAAATAATTTGGATAAAATTTCATCATTAACATTGGCCAATATACGTGTTGTAAATCTTTCACCAAGTTTTAGTAGTATTTCAACTAAATTACTTGGACAAATTATTGATGTTAAAAAACCGGAATTAGAAACGGAAAAAATTCGTATAGATAATTATGTTCGTGATCTACAAAAACAATTAAAACAATTTGAAAATGAATTATTAATAAAATTATCATCGATTGATGAAACGGGAAATATCCTGGAAAATCAACCATTAATTGAACAATTAAAATTTCTTAAAAAATCTACTGCACAAATTGAAATTTCATTAAAAGAATCGGATCATTTAAAATCGGAATTAGAAAGGGAAAGAATTCAATATAAAAATCTATCACAATTTGCAGCAAATCTTTATTTTTCAATTGAAAACCTTTCGAAACTATGTCCAATGTATTATTTTGGTTATGAAGAATTTGAACAATTATTTATTGATTCATTACGTTCAAAATCTGAAAATGATATATTTACTGAAGATGATTTATGTTTTGCATTTTATAATTATATATCAAGGGCATTATTTAATGAACATAGACGTACATTTAGACAATATTTGAAAAATTGTTTTCCAAAACAATCAACATTAATTATATCATGGGATAATGATACAAATCAACAAAATATTGATGAATTTCTTATGGAAATATTTCAATCAAATACTACTTGTTTTGGTGGTAAAATTGCATTAATAATAACTGTACCTGGTTCAGATCCAAATACAGAGATAAAAAATTCAATGGAAAAATTTGGTTATGATTTACAAATGATTTCAATGGGTAATGAAACTATTGATCAGGTATCATTATTGATACAGAATATGATTCAAACTAGTGGTGGTGGTAATCGTCAACAACAACAACAACAACCGATGAAATCCTTTAGCACCAAACAACAACAACAACAACAATCAAAACCGATAAAAGTTTTATGTTTGAATAATCTGCATTTAGTAATTGGTTGGCTAACCAAATTAATACAAATTTTACAATCATCGTCGTCTTCGTCAAATAATTCACGAATGTTAATGTTACCACCATTAATTTTAGTAACCGAATCAAATGAACAATTTCCACGTACATTATTGGAAATGTGTATAAAATATGCACATGAATCAGCACCCGGTTTACGTTCACATTTACGTCGATTACGTTCACAACAATCACAACAACAACAACAACGATCAACAACAACAAATAACAAAATCAAACCCGATAATAATTCTTATGGAAAATTATTGGAAAATTTTGAATATTTTCATGCAATTTGTTGTGAAAGACGTTTCTATATTCCATTTGGTTGGAATAAAAATTATGAATTTAGTTTTAATGAATTTTATTTTGGTTGTGAAATTATTGAAAAAATATTAGATTTTGATCGATTATTAGATCAACGACAACAACAACAAAAATCAGTGAAAAATAATCAACAACAACAACAACGATATAAAATTTATCAATATTTAGATGGCCTCTTTCATCAGGTTATTTATGGTGGTAAAATTGATTTTAATATTGATGAATTAGTATTAAAGTTATTATTGAAACGTTGTTTTCATCCGAATTCGGATTTTCAACAATATTTATCGAAAAATTCAAATCAACAAAAAGATCAACAAGATTCTGATTTTCGTATGCTCGGTTTACCGTTAAATGCAAATGAATTTCGTAATCGTTTATTAGATAAACGGTTGAAACAAAATTTACAATTATTATCTATATCTAAACAACAACAACAACAACAACAGAATCAACAACAACAACAAGAATTACAACAACAACCATCATCACCATCGTCATCATCATCAGCAGCAACATCAACAACAACATCGACAGCTGAAACAAAAACAAAAACAACAACATTAAATCCATCTGGAATAAAATATTTTCGTAAAATATGGATACGTATACTAGGTAAATGTCGTATCGATCAAATTGATGATTTACGTGAAGAAATGTCAAATAATTCAATTGTTGAATCAAGTTTTCTAGATGCATCAACATTAAATTTATTCATACGTGGTTTTATATTGTTTGAATTTGATTTTGCAAAAAGATTAATATTACAAATTGATCATGAATTACAAACAAACGAATCAATTAATAATAATAATAATAATAAAGATTTAGATCATTATTTACAGATTAATCATACACCAGATTCATGGTTAAATGTTTGGCTAAATGGTTCGGAAATTGCACAAGATTTTCTTATTAATTTAGCTAAAATTTATATGAAATTATCAAATATTATAAATACAAATGATAATTCATCAATATCATTTGATATGACACATTGTTTTCATCCAAAATTATTTCTAAATTCATTAAAACAATTTGTAGCAAAAAAATTATCAACAAGTATTGATCGATTATTTATTGATTATCAATGGACAACAACAACAAATGATCATAATGATCAACAACAACAAAATGAATCAACAATAATTAAAATACGTTTAGATGGTATTTGGATTGAAGCAGCAGAATTTTTCGATCAACAATTACAAGAATGTAGTTCGGATTCAAAATTTCAAAATTTAATGCCACCATTAATGATGATATTTTCAACAAAATCAGATCAACAACAGCAATCCAATGATCAAAACTCCATTCAAATACCATTATATTCATGTTCAAAACGACAAACATTATTAGAACAATGGCCATTACCATGTTCAACAACGAAACAACCAACAACAAAACAATCAACATCAAATGAACGATGGATTGAAATGGGTGTTGCATTAGTATTGGGAAATTTTATTTAGTCATCCAATATTCAAAACATTGTAGTTAGTAGAATGTTTATTATAAAAAAAAAATTATTTAATATTAAAAGTATTCCAAAAAAAGTAAATTAAAATTATAAAAAAAAATTATAAATTCAAAGTTGTTCTTCAGCAATATCGGTTTGTTGATGCTGATGATCATTATGGCGTATAAAATAACGTTGATTATTTTTTCGATCATCATCATCATTATCATTATTGGTTGTATAATGACAACGATATGATGATTGATCATTAACATAGATTTTTGATGATTGTCGTGGTCGTCGTTGTTGAATTTGTTGCCACCATTGATTTAACGATGATTGTCTTCTTCGTTGCGGTTGTTGTGATGAATTATTTTTATCCAATGCTTGATAATCTCGTTTTAAATTCCAACAACAACAACAACAACAGGTGAAAAAAAATTCCCAAAATATTTGTAAATAACTACGATTAGTATATATTAATACACAAATTAATAATAATAATAATAATAATAAAAATGTTATTATAAAATATGATAATGTAACATAAAAACGATAACGTTCAATGGCTGATTTTTTTTCCTGTTCATTCATTGTTGGTTCTGTACCGATTAGATTGATCATTGATATTTCATTTTCTTCCATTAACCAATCATTTTTATTATTATTTTCATTATGAGAATGATTATCACAAATAAAATCATTTTCTTTCATATCATCTAAATATTTACCAGTACGATTACAACGATATTCTTCTAACCAATCAAATGTTGGTTGTTGATAATGATTATGATCAAAAATATTTTTTTCTAATTGTTTATGTAAAAATCGATAAAAATCTAATTGTTTACAATCACAATTGAATGGATTTTCACTAATATTTATATGATATGATAATGATTGTGATGATAATAATGATTGTATTGTTTGATTATTAATAATTTTTAATTGATTATTACTTAAATCTAATAATGATAATTCCGTTAAACAGGATAAATTTTGATGAAATTTATTTAATTGATTATTTTTCATTAATATTTGTCGTAATTGTGGTGATGAACAGAATAATTTATTATTTTCATTATCATTATCGATACGATCAATTTGATTTGATTCAACGTTTAATATTTTCAATTGTTTCAGTTGATTATTCATTATAATCGATATTAATGATTCAGATTCGGATGATGATTTTTTATTATCAGTTGCATTACGTAGATGTAATTCTTCTAAACGTTTTAATTGTTTAAACATTATTTTTGAATCATTATTTAAATTAAAATCAATTTGATTATCATTTAATATTAATGTTTCAATATTGGTCATTCGATCAAATAGATGATTATCAACGTGTTTAATTTGATTTCTTGATAAATCCAACATTAATAATTTATTTAAGCTGTAAATCGATAGAGTAAATAATAAATTATAATGAATTTGTAAAAATTTGTAAACAAAAAAGCAATTTATAATACCTTGGTAATTTATCTGTTGTAGTAATTTTCATTGATTGATTAAAATTATTACCATTTAAAATCAATACTTGTGTTTTATTTGGTATTAATGTTAATATAAAATTTAAATTATTAAAATTTGTATCCGTACAATTTGTTATAAATGTATGTAGATTTTTACCAAAATATTTTGATAATGGATATGATGATGATGATGATGAACCATAATAATAATGATTATTATTATTATGGTTATTATAATCAATATGGCCACAAAAACATTTTTGTAATTCTTTTGGACATGATGAATTTGTTGTTGTTGTTATCGTCAATGTTTGACATGATGAAAATTGTATAAATGATAAATATAAACATTCAATAATCAATATGATTATCGATAATGATGCCATAATTATAAAATTGTAATTTTAATGAAAAATTATTTTTACAAACAAAATCATTATGATGACCACAAGTCCAGTTCAGTTCGGTTGTTCAATGTGTGTGTTTACTCGATCGATCAACAAAGTTTCCCATCACAACAACCACAACGACCAACTATCACTTCAGTGCATAGAAGAATTCTTGCCACATTTGAATTATTATTATTGCTCGAATTTTTTGTTTTTCCCAGCCACATTCTCTCTCTCATTGTGTGTGCATGTAGGTTTTTTCCCTTATTTCATAGCATACACACACACAATACATATAATAAGCCAAAATTGGCAATATATTTGGGCAGGAAGACAAGGCAGCTGCTGCTGCTGTGATTGCATAGACAACAAACCAAAAGAAGAAAAAAAACTTGTCCAATCTGGTTGGCTTATATCTGATTGATGATTGGTTGGTGTGTGGTTTTTTTATTATCGATCACCGACCTTTTTTTTTGCTTGAAAATTTTGAAATTTTAAAATTCAAGTTTTTTTAATTTTTCTGGGTTTTTGCCTACCTAAATGTTAACTGTTAATGAAGGGAATTTTATAACATTTTGTATTGATCCATTTCGATTGAAAATATTGTTATCCTTTTAGTAATCTTTGATTTGGTCAAAATTAAAAAATAAAAGGTTTTTATTTAGGGAAAAGAATTGTAATTGAAAATTGTAAAATTTTCCATTTTTGGCTAAATATACATTATTTGACTATTTGGGTGTAAATAAAATCGAATGAAAATGGGGAGAGAAGAGAGAGAATCAAATAATCAAAACAAAAACAACAACATTTGTACCAAAAAAATTGGACCAAAAACAAAACAAAACCAAAAAAACTTAACCAAAAAAAAATCAAATTCCAAATGAGTTTAAACGAATTTATACTATTATTATTGGATATTGTATATAATCAATTTGCAATCGCTGTTATTATATCATTGGGATTTTTTTTCATCATAATACTTTATACATTTTTTTATTATTCACTTTAAATTAATCAAATCAAATCAAAAATGTTTCATGTTCAAAGCAAACAAGTGTCATAAAAAAAATGTTTTTACAATCATCAACATTGTAAACGAGAAAGGAAAACAAAAAGACTGCGTAGTGCTAATCATTGTTGTTATTGTCGCTGGAATTTGCTACAATCCTAAATTGTCAACTTTAAATACGTTGTTGTAAACGACATTTTGCGATCAAAAAACAAAACAAAAACCAGAAGAAAATGAATTATAAATTATCAACAACAACAACATCAAACAATGATTCGGATCAAATACAAAATGATATTGTTAATTATGATGGTGAATTATTATTAAATAATAATAATAATAATCGTTATAAATCTGTTATTGATGCACTTGTATGGCCAATTGTAATAAGACCATTATTGTATAAAATACAAAAATATAATCAAAATGCAGCAATTATATTATTACATTCATTAGCTAAAGCTGAACATTGTCAACCAGGTTTTTTACAACAATTTTGTCAAATGATATTATCAATGAATAATATTGATTCAATTAATATGATTGAATCATTGTTACGATTACAGGCAAATATTCCTGAAGCAGATGGTAAATTTTTTTTTCTGATGTTTTACATTTGAATTGATTTTTGAATTTTTTTCTTTTTTTTTCATATAATAATAGAACAACGATGTCGACGAACAGAACAACCATTTCAAAATCTAAATCATTGTACAATACAATTGAAAAGAATCGTGGCACAAATACCTAATGTTATCTATAATCGACAATTATTTTTAGATACAATTCGTAAAATTGCTGCTGCAATTAAAGAATTACTTGATTGTATTTATCAAATTAATTCAAATGGTTTTATTGTTAATATAAAAGATCGTCGTTCATTGGATAATTGTCGTCGTGAATTTATACGTGATTCAAAACAATTTAGTCAATCATTAAAAGATTATATTAAAAATGGCGAGTAAGTTTTCTTTGTTTTTTTTTAAAGTTTTTTTCAGTAAAAATTAATTTTTTGTTTTGTTTCATAGTGAAAAACCTGTATTACAATGTGCAGCACAATTAATTTATGCAACAAATTCAATACAAAAAACAATAAAAATTTGTTGTGATTTTTATGGAAAAAATTGATCAAAGACCCTGATTGATTGATTGATTGATTGATGGATGGATGGATGGATGGCAATGAATCGCGATTGATTGACAGACTAACCTAGCTAACTACTACGATATGTTCCGATACCAATACAAAACAAAACATCCCTGTGAAGAAAAAAATGTGCAATATGAAGAACAAAATCTGATGTCCAAATAATGAATGAATAAAAATATCAGTTTATTTTTGACCAAAAAAAAAAATTTTTGATTTTTGATTTTTGTTTTCAAAAAAATCATTACCAAAACATACGATAGATGGCGATGATTACAGTAGAGATAGAGAGAGATAGTGAGAGAGAATGAAATCTCATTGAGAAATTGTTATTGTTGTTATTGTTATTTAGTGATGATATTTTTATTTTATTTTTGTTTTTATTGTTTTTATTTCGTTTTCAATCGATTATTGAATTATAATTTACTCAATTTCTTCCAAGAAAAAAAAAACAAATTGCAATTGAGAATTACACTGTTTTTATAAAGAAAGATCTCTTTAAAGGTTTATTGACAGATTTGTTTGCAGATAAATCTTTGAATCAAACGCCATAATCGATAAAAAAATGATGATGATAATGAAAGACGCCTTAATCATTTTTTTTTTAAAAAATGAGATAGACCAGAAAACATTTTAAAAATTTCTGTTTTTCAGTTTGGTTTGGTTTGGTTTTTGCCCAGCCTGTTTATCATTATGATTGATTGATTGATTGATTGACATCGACACAAACACAGAAACAGAAACAAACAAACAAAATACACTCAAACGTTCAAACTAAAACAAGAATTTTTTTATTTTTCCGAAAAAAAAGTCAACATTTGAAATTTACAACCAAAAATTGCCTGTAATGTTTAGATTTTTATCATCAAAAAAAGTTTTCATTTTTTTTTTGGCCAAACGATCACCACCACCAACATCAACTGATTTGATTTGATAAACAAACAAACGAACGAAAAAAAACATTAAAATTTCCGGTAAATTTTTTTTGTTGATTACAACTTTTATCATGATTGATTTGATTGATTGATTTGAGCTGTAGTGGAAAGGTGTGGTTAGTTGATGTTTTTTGTTTTGTTTGTTTGTTAATTTCATTCGTGATCATTTTGAAATTTTGATTTTCACACAAGAATTGAAAAAAATATTCTTTCTCAAATGATGAATTCAAGATTTTTTCTATCACCATTGAATGAAAATAATCAAAATGATAATGAAAATGATGATTGCAACGATCAAAAAAAGAAGAAAAAAATAACAACAACAAATCAACAAACATTGAGCCATCCTCATGATGATAATGATAATGTGAATAATAAATATTCATCAATGGCAACTAAATTAAAAACTAATCATAAATGTTTGGCTGTATGTTTGTAATTTTAAAGGTTTTCTTCGTGTAATTTTTTGTAATTTTAAATTTCAATTTTTTACCCCGTCAAGAAATTAAATGTTGCCATCATACTTGATGGTAATATACAATCATCACGTTTGATTGGCCTAATACAAGCTGATTATGGATCATATGGTCTATTCATATGGAATACGAATGCAAATATCAATGATGTTAATGTTGATGATGATAATAAAATTATTGAAACAATCATTCCAATTGATTTAAAATTTCATTATCAACTTGGTATGTTCATTTTGATTAATATATTCGGGAAAAATTTCTGAAAAATTTCAATAATTTTTTCCTTTCGTCCCACACAGTAACAATCGATCCAATTCTATTACAAGTTTCAGGTTTGTTTTTTCTTTCTTTAAAATTTTTTTCTAATTTTTCTTTTTCAAAAAAAATCAAGAAAATGGTAGCGATCTTGCATTATTCATAACGTATGATAAATTTCCTACAAACAATAATAATCAATCATCATTATTGAATAAAAATTTGACTGAACAAAAATCATTATCAATCAAAGATTCAATACTTTTGGAATATGATCCTTTGATGATCAATGATGATAATGATGGTGATAAAAAATTTACTGATCAATCGGAATCGATATTTAACGACAATGACAACAATGACAGCAATGGAAAACAATCATCATCATCATATCGTTTTATATTATCATATAATGAAATGACTGAAAAATTTATTACACAATTACAACATATTGTTTCGGGTATGGTTTTTGTGAATATTTTGCATTTTTTGCTTCTGTTTTGTTATTAATGTTTCATGTTTTTTCTGTTTTTGTTTTGAAAAATATATTAAAAAGTATCACATCGTACATTTACCGAATCAATTGATTTTGAATGGACCAAACAATATTTACAACAAATTCCATTAGAACAACAGAAAAAAACAAATGAACATTTATCAAAAGGTTTGCTTTTTTTTTGTTTTTTCCATCACTTTTATTTATTTATCCATGAACATCATTGAGGATTAAGAACGAGAAATTTTTTTTTGACATGTGACATGTGTGACACATTAAAAAAAAATAACACACAGGTGTTCTAATACATCAAAATAAACGAAATTGGGTGTTTAAATAACCAATTTTTTTCTGATGAATTCTCTCTTTTAGCATCAACAATGGCAATGAAAAAATCAAATTCATCATCATCATCATCAAAAACATCAACATTATTATTATTTGATGATTATTATGACAATCATCTTCAGCCAGCAAATTCTAATCAATTTATAAATGAATTAATTGATCTTGATATTAATGATAATCATCATAATCATCTTAAAAAATCATCATCAACATCATCATTTGATTATAATAATTTAGATAATAATTATAATGATAATGATTTATCATTATTATCAGATAATAATCATTTTGAAAATGATTATAATCGTGAATTATTAATACAAACCGAAACCGATGAACGTAGAAATGAATATGTACGTTATATAAATTATACAATATTTATTGGTACATGGAATGTTAATGGACAAATATTATCAAAACCAGAATTAATGAGAAAATATTTTCTTGGTTGTGATTCTATTGGACCAGATTTTTATGCAATCGGTTTTCAAGAATTAGATCTAAGTAAAGAAGCATTTTTATTTAATGATTATAAAAAAGAAGAATATTGGCTACAAATTTGTGAACAATCATTACATCCAGATAGGCAATATTTTTTATTGAAAAAAATTCGTCTTATCGGTATGATGTTGGTAATATTTGCTGCACGTGAATTTCGACAATATATTAAAAATGTTGCAGCTGAAACTGTTGGTACTGGAATTCTTGGCAAAATGGTTTGTTTGATGATTTTTTTTTGGCTTGGTTTGATATTTTTTTTTTCTTCAAACTTTTTCATTTTCCAATAGGGAAACAAAGGCGGTGTTGCTATTCGTTTTGAATTACATGATACAAGTATTTGTTTAGTTAATTGTCATCTTGCTGCACATGTTGAACAATATGAAAGACGTAATCAAGATTTTCGTGAAATTAATTCACGTTTACAATTTATGAATTTAAAAATACCGAAACGTATCTATGATCATGAGTAAGTTTTTTGTTGTTGTTGTTTGATAGTTCATTGATTTTTGATTTTTTTTTCAAATTATTTCATCTCTCAAATCAGTCAAATATATTGGTTTGGTGATCTAAACTATCGTATAATGACATCGGATACTGATTATGTTAAAAAATTATTAACATTAAAAGAATTTGATAAATTATTAGCAATTGATCAATTACGTAATCAAATGAAAGAAAGAAATTGTTTTCAAGGTTTTCAAGAAGGTAAAATTAATCATATGCCATCATATAAATATAATACCGGTACAAATGAATGGGATTCATCCGAAAAACGACGTCCACCAGCATGGTGTGATCGTATATTATGGCGTGGTGAAATGATTCAACAAACAATTTATCGTTCACATCCCGAATTAAAAGATAGTGATCATAAACCAGTATCATCATTATTTCAATCACAAGTACTTTTAATTGATCATACATTAAAACGTAAAGTTTATGAAGATGTAATGAAAAAATTGGATAAAGTTGAAAATGAATTATTACCACAAGTTTCTATTGATACAACTGAAATTAATTTCGGTCCAATTTCATTTAAAGATAATAATTGTCGATTATTAACATTAACAAATATTGGACAAAGTCGTATACGTTATCGTTTTATAAATAAACCAAATGATAAAAATTTTTGTAAACAATGGTTACGTGTAACACCATCAACCGGTTCGATTAATATAAAAGAAGATATAACAATTGTATTTGAATTAAATTTTGATGATCCAACAATGGCATATCGTTTTAATTATGGTTTAGAAACATTATCCGATACATTAGTATTAAGTTTAATTGGTGGTAAAGATATTTTTATTACTATTTCGGGTGATTATCATCTTAGCTGTTTTGGTTGTTCATTAGAAACATTAGTACAAATGGAAAAAACAATTTCATCAATAACATTGAAAGAATTTCAACAAAAATATGGTGATTATAAATTACCTAAACAATTAGATTATCATGAACGATTGATTAATATTTATAATGAATCAATGGAAACAACAACAAAAAATTTAATTACCAACCGAAAACTATCAATACCAAAAGAATTATATATATTAATTGATCATTTATATCGTAATGGTTATGTTAATGTTAATATATTTCAAATATCTGGTATGGAAAATGAATTTTATATTATACGTGATTCAATTGATTCGGGTGAAATAGAAAAAATTAACAATGTATCGGAACATTCAGTTGCTGAAGCATTATTATTATTTTTAGAAACATTACCCGAATCAATTATACCATTTAAATTTTATGATCGTATACAACATTCAAATAAAAATCATAGTGAATGTAAACAAATTTATAATGAATTACCTGAAATTCATCGTTTAGTCTTCCAATATTTGATTATGTTTCTACAGGAAATGTGTAATAATTCTGGTGCTGATAAACCATTGAATAAACTTTATATTGGTAAGTTTATTTGAAAAATTTTTGTTTCTTTCAAATTAATAAAAAAAAATTTTTCTCCACCAAAGCAAAATTATTCGGACCAATATTGATACGACGACCACCCGAATCATTTTATACATTTCGAAATAATCAAAATCAAAATCATCAATCTGGAATCATAGCATCATCATCATCATCATCATCATTATCATCACAAATGTTTATAAATAATGGTGGTGGCTATAATCAAAATAAAATCGATACATTAACACCTGAACAATTTTTTATTAATTATTTTCTCAATCTAAACACTTGGTAAATGGAAAATCAATCAATCGATCAATCAATTACTCAATATGTTTCTCATCATTTTATTTTACAAAAATTATTATTTTCTCCTCTTTATTCACACACACACCGGTGACACATTTTACCATATAAAAAATATATATTTTTGCATCCAAGAAAAAAAAATCTTTTTATCCCGTTGTTAATTATTGTCGTAGATTTTATCTGTCTTTTTATTTTATTTTATAAAAAAAATTTTTTAAACAAAAAAAAACTATTTCAATTTTATTTATTGTAATTATAATTATATAAAAAAAGAAATATATTCTGTAAGAATGGAATTATAATAACTTTTTTTTTAAAAAATGATAAAAATTCAACAATCGATAGTGAATTGATCAAAGATCTGTGGGGGTTTTTTCACTGGTTTTTTTGTTGTTTGGTTTTTAAAAAATCCAAAGTAATAATAGAAAAAAACAAATACCAATAACGATTGCCAAAATGATTGAATCTTTACGTTTTTTCATACCTATACGATGCATTACATTATTGATCATTGGAAATTTATCTAATTTATATAATGGAAGAAAGTGAAATTTTCAATTTTTGTTAAGTATTTAACATTTAGAAAAAAAAATAAAACATACTGGCCAATGTTGTTAATTGTGTTTGAATTGCTTTCATTGTTGAACGTTGTTGTCGTAATGTATCACGTGTACGAATAGCAATATTAATTTGATCATCAATCATAATCTCTGAATTACGTATATGATCAGTTTCTTTAAGTAATAAAAAATCGGCTTTACGATTTTGTTGTCCATAATCATTACTTGGGTGTGTTAATGTGGGTGATAAAAAAATTTTTATTCATTAAAAATTAATGTTAGTAAAAACAAAACAAACTTACTTATAATCTTTTCTCATTGAATTTTGTAATAATAAATCACGATTTAATTGTTCACCAATATTTGTACGTAATTTATAAAATTCTTTACGATAATCATTCAATATATCTTGATGTCTTTGTAATGTATATAATATTGAATTATTATTTGGTAATTGTTGTATACATTGATCCATTTTATTGTTTACATCTTGTAACTGTAATTTTTTAGGATTGAATAAAACTTTTTTTTTAAAACAAAAACAACAACAACAAAAAAAAAATAAGCTTACCGTATTGATTAATGAATCAATTTCGAATGTTAAATGATCAAAATTTTCTTTCGAACTAATCAATGGTTCATCATCATCATCATCATCTTGTTTATTACGATGATTATTTTGAAATTTTTTACCACCAGTTGATGAATATTTACGTTCATTACGTAATGACATTAATTTTGATAATGAAACTAATTTTGTATCAATATCTGTTTCATATTGTCTTGCTAAACGTCGTAATTCTATTTCGATTTTGTTTTGTTTTGGAAAAAGGAAAAATTATACAGAAAAAAAATCCAATATACAAAAAACTTTCTTACCTTCCCATTGTTTAATCGATGAATTATTATTATCACTATTATCCATTGCCATTATCGTTAATCAGAAAAAACAAACCAAAAAATCTGAAATCAAAAATCTGAAAAATCGAAATCAAAACACCGAACAAGGAAAAAAATAACCTGACGTAAACATGAAAAAAAAATCTTTGATCGCGCCATCTATTGAATGAAAATTTTATTTAAAAAACAAAATTAAAGCTCATTGAGAATATGCGCTATATATGTTTGAGGAAGAGGGGTGGAATGACTCTTATGTTTTGATGGATTTTTTGATTGTCCATGATGATGATGATGATGGTCGAAAAAACAAAAACAAACAAAAAAAAAATCGAAAAGGTTATTGAACAACTCACAACCGAGATCATCATTATCATCAGATTTTTTTCTGTTTTTAGAATCACCATCATCATATAGACAACGACGACAATCGATTCTTAATAAATCAATCAAACTCATTTAAAACACGAGCAAAACAAGAAAAGAAAATTCCTTGTTTTGGTTTTTTTTGGTTTCCAAATGACAATCAAATTGTGATACTGTGATTTTATTTTTGTTTGTTTGTTGTTTGTGTGTGCATGTGTATAATTGATGTGTTTTAATATCGTTGACGTATCACGCAATTATCATTGATTAATGTTGTTGTTATCATCATTATCACGAACAACAACAACAACTTTTAATTGATAAAGTTTTTGTTGTTGTTTTCCTCAATTTTATCATCAATATATCTTTGGTTTTTTAAGGGGGGGATTATTGAATAGGTAGGTGTTTCAAGAAGTAGGGAAAAAATTTTGATGCTAAGTTCAAAGATCGTGAAAAGAGAAAAGATAATAATGATAATCCATTAATCTCTTTTGTTGGTTGGGATTATAAACAATTGAAAAAAACGTATTGGATTATAATCGATACGCACATTGTTTAGATTTTTTTTTTTTTTTTGTAATTTTTCTTTTGTCTAATGAATTTTTTTACAATTTTTTCTCTCATTTATAAAAGACAACCATAGTGAAATGTTATTTTTTTAAATGAACAATTAAAAAATTTTCTCAACAACAAAAGCAATAAATAAAATGATACAATCGAATCCGATTATAATTGTTGATCAATGTCATCCAACAACAACAACAAATTCAAATAATCATTCCAATAATAATAATAATGAACTAAGCAATAATAATTATAATGATGATATCGATGTTGAAATGGTTGAAGAAGCAACTGAATATTTAAATGATTTCAATGATGATAATAATTATTTAATCAAGAATCACATTGATGATAATGATGAAAATTATGATAAAAATTTGATTGAAAAATCATCATCATCATCATTATCGATTGATTCAATATTAATGGAAACTGAACCAAATGTTGAACAATTATTACATGAATCAATGTTACGACAACGATATCGTCAAAATTCAACACCAAATCTTTTATTAACAACAACAACAACTGCTACAAATAAAAAACATAATGTAAAAATTCGACCAAACAATAGTGATAATAATCTAGTCATAAAGACAATAATAGATAATAATAATATTAATGTTAATGTTAATAATCAAGAAAATTCTTTAAATTCATCATCATCATTGGGACAAATTGATTTAGAATTATTAATGAAATATGATGATGATGATAATAATGTTGATGCTGCTGTTGTACCATTTTCACTCGATGATGATGATGATGACGATGATGATCAAATAAATACTGTACAATCTTCATCATTGAATGAATTATCAAGATCGATTGGAAAAATGGGTGCAGAAACATTTCGCCAATTACCACAACAATCATCATTATCATCATTATCGGATAAGAAATTAAATTCAAAAATTAAAGATCAAAATCCTACAAATATTTTAGGTATGTTTGTTTGTTTGTTTTTGTTTTCTGGCAAACCATATTTATGTCTTTTTGTTTTTTTTTTCTCATTGAATAGATAATGTTTCAATTGGAAATCAGATGAAGAAATCTGAAACTATCATTAAAGGTATTGTGACCACTAGCATAACAACAACAACAACAACAATACCGGCTATAACATCGAAACAACAACAACAACAACCAATTGTGGCTAATATATCACCGGTGATACAACCATCAACAACAACAACAACAACGATTATGAATCGTAAACGACGATCAAATAATTTTCTTTCAAATATTATATCAGTTTCTTATAGACAAAAATCAATAGAATATTATAAATTATTTCGTAAAAATATTGGTAATAATGAATTATTAATTGGTGATTTTTATTGTGCATTAAATGCAATACAAGGACGAATGTACATATCAAAAGATCATTTTGCATTCCATCATAATATAATGGGAATGTTTGCCAAAAGTTTGGTAAATTTTTTTTAATATTTTATCTTACATAATATATCTTATCTAATCAAAAAATAATAAATTTTTTTCTTTTCTCACAAAACATCTCTTATAGATCTGGAATTGTTCAAATATAATTGCAATAAATAAAGCTAATACAGCATTAGTAATACCGAATGCAATACAATTAACTGTTAAACAACAACCAATATCAATATCGATGACATCTTCGATCATTAATAATGGTAATGGAGAAAAAAATGACAGTGATAAAGATTCATCAATTTCCATATCATCATCATCATCATTATCATCAACATCAACGACATTGCCTATTAACAACAATGTTGAACAACAACAACAGCAAAAATATTTATTCACATCATTTACACAACGTGATAAAATATTTGCATTAATGGAAACAGTTTGGCGACGATCAAATCAGAATCGTTCATTATCGAATCAAGAAATATCTGATCTAGTACATAGATTCTATGGTGATGATCTTGGTTTTATGGATGATAAAGAAGAACAAGATTTTTTTGCTGAAGAAATTCTAGCAAATCAAATTGATGAAAATGATCATGATGATGATCATGATGATGTTGTTGTTGTTGTTGGTGGTGTTGGTGGTGATCAAATTGATCCGTTGGTTGTTGATATTGATCAAAAAACTTCTATACAGGTTCATCAGGAAAAAGATCAAGATCAAATTAAAATGTCAAATGATAATAATTCAACAAAATCATCAGTCGAAATTGATCAACAACAGTCGTCACAAATTTCTGATGAATTAACAACAACAATCGATACAACAACTGATGTAAATTTTAAATCAATAATTCCAATTGATTCATCAACACCTATTATTCAATCAAAATCAATCAACATTTCACCGGATCAATCATTATTGAATAATACGATTGAAGAAAATGAACAACATCCTCCCGAAACAATTGTAACGGGTGAAATTGCTCAAGAAATCATTCCTGAAGAATTAAATTCTAATCCAACACAATCATCAATAAACATATCATCAAACAATCAAATAGTAACAAATGAAATGAAATCATTGAATCGATTTTTTCAGGCAGCTTCATTATCGATGGTTGAAGGTTGTTGTCGTTGTTCAAAACATCAAGGAACATTGATTGTTGAAAAAATTCTTCCATTTCCAGTTGATTATTTATTTGAATTAATATTTATTGATCAGAATTTTATACGTTATTTACATAAAACAAGACAAACAACCGGTATGAAAATAACAGCATGGATGCCATTTGAAGAAAAAAATCGACCACAAACACCATTACCGGATGGTGATTATGATATTTGTCGTAGTGAATATCGTACAATGAAATATACAATCAAATTAACTGGTATGCCATTAATAAAATCAGCAACCGTATTTGAAAGTCAATATATTTTACAAAGTGATTTAAATCGTGCATATTGTCTTTATACACAGATCAAAAATCAAGGTATACCATATTCAGATTCATTTCTAGTCAGTACAACATGGTGTTTAAATTCATGTTTACCTGGTGATCAACAACAACAAACAGCGACAACAACAATACAATTACCGACACATACAAAATTACGTGTCTATTTAAATGTACATTATATAAAAAATAGTTTATCATTATCATTAATGAAATCATCGATTGAAAAAAATTCTGTACAAGGATTTCAAGATCTTATTGGTGATTTATTAAAATTATTACGTACAAATCGTTTTGATTATGCAACACAATCAATGCTTTTTAATGAATCATCGAATCTATTGGTTGATGGACAACAACAACAAAATGAGAAAAATTTTGTTGATAAAAAATTGAAAAATATTTCAAAATCAACAATGACCAACAATTCATCAATGGCTGATGATGATGATGGTTTATTGAATAATGATGATGATGATGATGATGATCATAATAGTGATCAATCGATTGAAGCATTTATGCAAGAATCATTCAATGTTGATGATAATGATAATCAGAATAATGAACGATCATTATTATCAATGAATTTTATTGAAATAATATTAACAATCATACAATTTTTAATGGATTTATTACAACAAACAACAATAACAACATTATCGGATACAAAATTATTAAAAATTGTATTCATTTTATTAATGATTATAATAGCTGTTAATATTATAATATTGAAACAATTTTTAGATTTTGAAACACGTATGGCTGATATGATTGATATGATACAGGAATCATTACAACAACAACAACAACAACAACAATCACAACAACAACAACAACAGCAATCATTTATTTAATCTTCAATCAATCAATCAATCAATCAATAATTTTTGCTCCTGTTTTCAAGAAAAAATGATGATTATGATGATATGTCACTGTGATATGTTTGCTTGTTTGTTTGTTTGTTTGGTATTTTGTTGGTATTCTGAATCAACTAAATTAGTTTATTCATAATTTAATTCATTGAAGAAGAAGAAGAAAAAAAATCAGATTTTCAAATTGACTAATAATGAATGTGGAATTCCTTCTCTCTCTCTTTTTTTTAATTATTCGAGAACAAAAACCCCACCAATTATAATTATCATTTTTAAATTTGACAATTTTATATGTGATTGTTTTATTATTATTAAATTGTAATTTGATTATTATTCAATCATTTATAAAATATTTATTTGATTTTTAAAGATTGAAATAAAAATTTTTCAAAAAAAAAATCAACAACATGGCCATCTATCGTTAAAATGATAAAAGTTTTTGGAAAAAATTTTTAAGAGGAATGTTTTTAAGATGAAAATGATATCGATAGTAGTAGTAGTGGTATATATATATATTTGTGTTTGTATATATCAGAATCGAACAAAAGAAAAAGCCAAAAAAAGAAAAGTTATCAAAAAAAAAAAAAAAATTCATGAATGAAATATTCAAGATAAAAAAGTAGGGGTATTACTGACAGTAAGTGCTAAGGGCAGATGTTCACAAT